GCATTATCACAGTGGCTATCGTGATGCACGTCTGTTTTTTTTTTTTTGTTGTTTAAAGAAGAGATCTTGGATTGTAAAGAACTTTTTGCCTTAAAATTTTCCCTTCGAATTTTTTTCAGCCCCAAACATTCAAGTATTTGTGCATTACCGTACATCACTGATTGTACTGATGAAATTTTTACTTGGGTACTGTGTTTTCATGATCTTTTGCATATAGTATTTTGCAGATGAATACAGCTGTGCGATGGCGACCAGCTCGTATGACTGCGACTATGATAAGCCGTATTCGCCGGAATCTCTTGAACCGGGAGACAATGATTTGGGCGCGATCTATACGCCATCACCGGTACGGCATTGCGCGAGTGCCACAGCTACATCGAGAAACGCTGTATCGCAAGCAGATGGTGAAACAGATGGCTCATCGTCAAGTGTTATTATCGATTTGGATGATGCCGGCTCAACAACCTCAAGCGTCAAAGCCTCCTCGCATACCGAAGAGGTATAAAAGAAGTCAAAAAAATTTGCTTTTAAAATTACAAAAAAGCACGCGAATAGCATTCTCGGAAGAGCGCACAAAAAGCCAGATTCACCAACAGCAACAGACAGACCACAGATGGCGCAGCTTCGGTCACACTGCACTCATAGAGTAGCTAGGCGCGGTGTGAATAATGGTCAGAAATCTGTGTTTTTTTTTTTTGTGAACGAAGAAATTTGCAGATTTTGGTCTTTTTAATCAAATTGACTTGGTGGATTACCTAGAGCGCGTTCAGAACAGATTCAGGTCATGTTCAAATGATGATTTAGGTCGTCTTGTGAAAGGAGACTTTTTTGTTTTCGAAGTAGATTTTGCGCCTTTTTTTTTTGTCGAGCAAACTGATATTAATATTTAGGTCGCTATGATATATTGTTTTTTCTTTTTTTGCTTTAAAAGTTCAAATTTTTGGGGATTATTGCTTGTTCGGGTTCAAGATTGACGAAAATGCCTATAAATAGATTCGTA